AGCCGGGGGTAGTAAATATATTTAATTCAATATCTCGAAAACTATTCGAGATAGAGGGTTGATAAAAATTATAATGTTTATGTTAATATTTCTGGTACAATATTTATCGATTTTCACGTAAACTTGCGTATATAAGTTATATACCCACACGCAAAAATACGGATAAATCAGAATTTTGATTTTTAACTAAAATTTCATCAAAATCGGCGACTATCACTTGAGGATGTTCTCTTGTTAGTTAATAAGAACTATGTATATACCCAAGTATAAGTGGATTTTGAAAAGCGTTGAATTTAAATTGCTAAAATTACTTTTTTGAACTGTTTTATCTTCGTTGTTTTCATGTGACATAATTTAAAATGGTTCAGAAAGAAAAGAAGAAACTGAACTTCCTTGTTTAACAATAACAACATAGTACTAAATAACTCTTAATTGAAGAGTGGATTTCTGATCAACAGTGTCTAAATGAGAATATTATTACAATATAATACTTTTGTATAGGTTCCACATATTATACAAATTTTGCATTTTAATGTAATATTCTTACAATATTATAATGCTTCAAAACGTTTGAATTCGGTGTCCCTAAAATCGTGATTTATGAGTTATATATCATTGTTGCAGCAAATGAGCGATACGACAAAAGACATAGCATTTTTTATTCTAAAATCAACCATATACATTTAGGGTATTCGGCCATTCTAGGCAGGAAATTAAAGGGATGATTCTAGAAGCAAGAATAAAAGCAAAATCAAGAATAAAGAAATTGCGTTTAAGGTTTTGTTTTTTAGTTATTAACGTTTGAAAATATCCCTGTAATCGAGCAAACCTTCCAATACCAACGAATATAGGGTATGTTTAAGACACGGGAGGTACAGTGATCCTCAAAACCAACAATACATGGCCGGCACCTTACTTCATACAAGTCGTAGGGAAAAAGGCAATGGTATTCACATGTGTATATACGAAAGTTCTTCAAATGTGTATTCCCACAGACGAGATATAGAGTAGACCAGTAATCCAACGTATTCTATTGTCACACGACCACGGGGTCCTAGAACCCCGTTACCAGCATCCTACTGTATCGATCAGGACTGGTATTATATCATTGCGCTATTAGTGGTAGGAATTGAAATCACGAACACTTGGCATTTGTTATTTTAAATAACGAAGGAGACAAAATTTCGAGTCTTAGGATGAATCAGAATGGATTCAGTCAACACACATTTACGTTTTGGGATCCACGGGTGTACTAATGGCACGGTAACAATGTACACAGACAATTTTGTCTTGGATGCTAACTTTCCGGATTTACTTCCTGACCAATATCGATCGTTTTGCGTGATGTAGTTCTTAATACGGTAAATTCTCTACAAGTGTCAGTCAGTTTGGATTCTACTAGTGTCAGTATAGATGGTCCTACGCCACACATTTACGTTTTGGGATCCACGGGTGTACTAATGGCACGGTAACAATGTACACAGACAATTTTGTCTTGGATGCTCACTTTCCGGATTTACTTCCTGACCAATATCGATCGTTTTGCGTGATGCAGTTCTTAATACGGTAAATTCTCTACAAGTGTCAGTCAGTTTGGATTCTACAAGTGTCAGTATAGATGGTCCTACGCCTAGGTCTGCGTCATTGCTGCGCCTATGTTATCTCACTCGCTGTCAGTCAAGCGTGTAACGCTACACCACTCAGTTTCTTTTACGAGATTTCACGGCTCGACAATTCATAATAGAAAAATATAATTTCTTTAATTTTACTTTTTTCATCTGAAATTTTTTTTAACATGTTGGTGAGATTTTTCTGATAAAAATGATATCAAACACGATATAATTTGAACAACATTTACTTATTAACACGTTCACTGTCGTCGTGTTTTATGTCATTTTCATCAGAAAAATCTCATCAATATGTTAAGAAAAATTTCGGGATAAAAAAACGTAAAATTAAAAAAGTTGATATTTAAATCGCTTGGTTGCCTCGACTCACGTTTCATCCTTATCTTTCATTCGCTGTTCTTGTCTACGTTCGGCAAACTACAAAGGCGGGCGCGAGGCTCGAAAACGTAGTCCCTGACTCTACAAGTGTCAGGTTTAGCTTCCTTGCGGACTGACACTTGTGGAGAATTTACTGTACTAGGTTAACGAGACGCGTCATTTTGACGCATTTCGAATTTCACAAGGAAAATTACAGAAACCGTTTGCATTTCTCTCCCACCACTTATGCTGATTATAAATATTATATAAAGATATAATGTAACATACATAGTTTCATTTCTAAGTTAATAGTGTATAATATGTTGTTTTTAAATAAAATAAGTTGTTTTTTAAAGAAAATCTGCGGTTTTGTTCATGCGTCAATGTGACGCGTGTCCGTAGAGATAGGATATATAAGAAATGTCCGTAAACCTAGTGTTAAAATGACCGTCTTAAAGGGTCTTCCTACTGTAACGGCTGAAAAGAACTTAATTTTTCGGAAATTTAAAACAAAGCAGGTGCTACGCCTGTCCTTTTGCAAATTTGTATGTTTATTCTATCATCTTTTAAGAAGACAAAAATATTTTTTATAAGTGAAAACATCTATTTGTTGTAAAATAGAACCACCGTGAAGAGAGCGCCTTGAAAACTATCCTTCCCGATGATATCAGACGTTGTACTTGTCCAAAATACAAACATATTCTTAATCTGCAGATATGTAGCTATCGTCTGAACTAGAATAATAGAAAAATATTGAAAAATAAAGAAATGGCAAGGTTTCAAAGAAACTGCTTTCGATTTTAGCAAAAAAAAATGATGGTTTTTTTCACTGCAAAAACTGAATTTTGAAAATATTTGCACAATTCTAGTTCAGACGATAAAGCAACATCTACTGAATATACCTGACAAATTTCGAGTGGATCGAATTTCTGGTTTTTTGGTAATCATGTCAGCTAGTTTCAAAAATGCTGTTTCGAGACAAACGCGTTTAAAGTTTTAACTACAGTTTAAAACTATATAAAATAGCTTCCTTTGAAGGCATACATCTGGACATATTTTCGACATGTTAAAAAACTATAAGAAAATGCAAAAAGAAAAATTGATTTTTTCAACCCGTCACAGTAGGAAGAGACCCCTTAAACGTAGAGTGTGCTTCAAAACCAGTAGTTTTGGACGACGTCGATATTTCAGGACGTGTGACAAAAATGGGTCTCGTGTCCCATAAGATGATTGGTCTATCCTATATTTCGTATGTGGTATTCCATTGTGTACTGCAAACGATTTGTACAAGGGTAAGTCCCTAAGGGGAGTTCTAGTATCAGGGCGTAGGGGCTTAAGGATCCCACAGTACCTGAAGCGCTGATCGACCAGAGTCAAGAGGAGTGAGGTTCCTCGTCTGGGAGTGGTGTGACTACGAGCATCCTATCGATGATGTATTGAACGGTACCTCGGGACGGCCAGCTTATCAAGCAATGTTACAGGGCTGTTGCGGAGTTCCCGATCCCCCTGTTGTTTCGAGGATCACTGTACCCCCCGTGTCTAGACGTACCCTATATTCGTTGGTGTAGAGAGGTTTGATGGGCTGCAGTTATATTTTGAAATGTTAATAACTAAAATACGAAACCTTAAACGTAATTCTTTTATTCTTGGTTTTCGTCTTATTCCGGCTGTTAGAATCACCACCCAGCCGTTTCAGTCTCAGGGGTCATTGGAAAAATCTTGTCGAGAAATCCCAAGCGGCGCGATTTAGCGTTTGTCTTCACTTACACTTACTTGTCTTCACCCTTTCGCTACGGCAGATTGTAATGCGTGACGTGGGTAATTGACGGTAAATGTTTAACCACGGCTGCAAAATTTGTTATTTTGGCCGTATCGTTTTGAAATCTGGTTTATTACTTCAAGATGGAAGTGCGCCGGGGATAAAAATAAGTATTAAATTAAAATGGAAGTGTACCACAAGGACTCTAAACAGTATAGCACGAGTAAATTTTCAAAACACCTACAGGCGCCAATAGTAATGAAAGGGTTAAAGTATGTCTAAAAACGCGAAACGGCGTGATAGAGCCTTGTCCCTTTTATAACGTATTGCGAACAAAAGTATCAGTAAAAATGAGCTCGCAGACTTCGACAGAATCCAAACATCGTGAATTTCGCATCGCGATTAAACGTAGTGGGACTTTTCAACGTGAAATCTGAACATCGCGATCGTACTGCGTGGGATTCAAACGGTTACATTTTCTCCCAAAAGTAGTCGAACACCCTGTATATATACATACACATATAGTATCCTTAACGATCAACACAAAAATTCCATTTCTAATGGTTTTACTCGCGTCGAAACCAACGCGATTGTTAAAGTATAAGTAAAAGATTGTATAATACTGTTATTTTGGGACGGTTAACGTGTAATAGAATATTACCTGGTACGTCAAGATGTTCTTGTATCAACTGTATGTATTTTTTGGCATTAGGTGGCAGTTTCTCTAAAGAACGTACACCTTCTGTAGGTGATTGCCAACCGTCGAGTATTTCGTAAGTTACTTCTACTTTTGCTAAATCAGAAGTACTACTTGGAAAATAATTAATTTCTTGTCCATTTAGCCGATAACCTACGCCAATTTGAATTTTAGGGAGAGTATCTAAAATATCTAATTTTGTTAGGCATATCGATGTATAACTGTAAAATAAAGATAACATGAATTATACATAAATTCTTTAGTAAACACCTTAGCGAGTATTAAATCTTACACAAGGAGAGGTCACAGTTTTGAGATTATTATATTCTGACGTAACGTTTCCTGGCGAATCTAGAGTAAAAATAAGCAACCTTACATCCCAGTGTATTTATTCAACGTGTACTACTTAAAAGGATATTTTATGTTAAATTTTCGGTAAACTCCGTATGTATCTGATTTGTTAATATGATTTTTGAGACTAATGGTAGCGAAGTATTTAAAAAAATTTCGGCAATATTCAGGATTTGTTTTTTCAATGTGTACAATGAATAATAGTGACAAATTTTTTTCACTTATTGTTAACGCTGCTTCCCACGCTTCGTGTTTGTTGGTGTTGGTGAATATTGCACGTATGTGCCAACTGATTGATGTCGCGAGATGATCGTACTTTATTTTCCGTATCGATTATCGCGGACTGGACCGCACTTGGTGTTTTACAACGTCGAATATCGCGGACGGGGCCGCGCTCAAGGTATTGTCGAGTGTTTACTTACAAGGGAACTTCGGTAACCCGAAATGTCACATTTGACATTTGTGATTTTGCTCATTATATAGAATTTTGTCAAGGTGGGGAATTAACCCTAGGGCCGCCCTCCTAGGCCCTCGAGCACTCCCCTGTGGTCGGCGGAGTGAGGTGTGGCCGTAGGGGGAGAGACGGTCCCAAAAGGGGTGTCAGCCCCGCGTGGCGATCTTGCCGAAACGTCGGTTTTACGGGTTTATGGCATGTTTACCGTTACTGAGCGCGCAGAGGCAAGTACCGGGTCACCATGTGGCCCGCAGAAGTGGAGAATTTCCGCGGCCATCAAGTAATAAACCGGATTTGCCCTCTGGCTTAAATAGGCTATTGTTGTCAAGGAAATCGTAGAACCAACTTCTCAAAAGTAACGTCGCCTAGAATCCGTGCCATAAATCCCGGTCAGTTAAACACTTATTAAGCCACTTATAAAACATACAAAACAATTTTGTAAATAATTTTATATCTGGAAGTGAGGATAGCGCCTTTGAAAAGAGAAACTTCGCTGGCGGAATTGATTTCAGCACACAGACTCATCGAAAACAAAAAGATCAAAAAGATTTTGAATCGGCATGAGTACCGCCGCTATCTAAGTCAAAATTTGATATTGAAGTACGGACTTAAAAATTTGGTGCATTCGAAGATTAAGCATTGAAATTTTGCATTTCTTTTTTTTTCTTTTTTGTTAAGTTTTACGATGCAAAAAATATGAAATTTTCAACATAGAAATGTAAATCTGGTACCTGGGGGAGCCAATGATATATAGAATAACGTGTTAACATTTCGGACTGATCGGCTGGATAGCTTTTTTTTTTTTAATTTTATTTCCGCCAGTTGAGAAAAGAACGTTTCAAGAAAAACGTGTTTGAAGTTAGAGTATTTTCGTGTGAGACATTACTTACGACTAATCGGCAATATCAGTAAATATTTATTCATATGCGAGACACAACTACACTCACTGTTAACACTTTACCGACCCACGGTTGAAGATCCCACGCACTTCCGACCGCTCAGTCGGCCACAGGTACATCGCTGACACCGGCTCTATTTAGACTCTAGGTCAGTGACGGCGAGCCTTTTGAGCTCGGTGTGTCAAAATTGGGAAAAAACCTAGCTTAACTCGGGTGCCGCGTCCATAATTATTGCGAGCGTTACGACCTTGTACGATCACGGACTCGCTATGGTTCAGCTCCGAATTAACAATTTTGAACCTCGTTGATAGAAGATAGACACCGTTGTTTTTCGTTGTTGTTTGTGTGATGATTATTTCTGATCTGCTCGGTTTCGTCCGTAAACGATGCGTGTCACCCAAAATGTCTTGGCGTGTCACCTTTGACACGCGTGTCATAGGTTCGCCATCACTGCTCTAGGTTATCGCGCGGGAATATATGTATGCGCTTTTTCTTATACCTATAGAAATGTTAAATCAAACTTTGTGAAAGTGTTATTGTCATATATTGTTCGCTTTCTGTTATTATAGGGTAATTAAATCTAATAACATTTTTTAGTTTCATGACATTAGTATTATACAATATTTATTTTATAAATTAGAATCGTTTTCAGATTAATATTTATATAATATTCCATAATCCATATAATGATTTTCTTCAAGTAATAGTTTAATATTTTTTTAAAGTGTGATATCGCTCAAAACAGTCACCTTTATGAAATGGAACATTGCAAAATGTACAAACGTAACATGTTCTACTTCTTTTTTTTTAATTGCACAAACTCTACATTGTTTTTACTTCGACCACTAGTCATTATATTTGTAAGTTTCTGTTTTCCGAAATTTGACAGTCTTCCTGGATGGTCTTGTTACGTCTGTAACCTCCAAGCCTAGCGAACCACTCTTGTCTTCGGGGAAACCATAGAAATCCTACAACGGTCACACACTCTGCATTCACCAAAATTACTTCGGGCAGTTACAGTGAAAAGCCACTCAAGGGTGGAAAAACCACCAGGTAAGAACCGGGTGCGTCACTCGAGACTATGCGAGGCACCGAGAGCCCGACGCTCGAGGATGCCCATGGGTCGGGGTGCCACGCGTTTGGGATATCCTTCGATGCCCCAAAAAAGGGGCAATTGTCTAAACTTGGGTAGGCTCGCTGTACTGTCCGGAAAATTCCCAAACTATCTATCCTTGTCTCAATCTTTCCTCCTCTAACCCATTTCCACCACCTTGAGGACAGGAGAGGGTGGGAATGGCGTAGGGTGGGGATGACAACTGCCACTAATGTGCGTAAGTGCACAGGTGGTCTGATTTTCGACAAAGACGCGAAATCGTAGGCACGTTGAGAAACAAGGATCGCCCTACGCAGGGCCTCAACGCTGAGGAACCGCGCTCGGGGCTTGCCAGCATTGAACAGATTCCCTCACCATATACTCAAAAAAGTCACTTCCAATGAATAAATTTGCAGAGTCCGTTACACTTTCTGGAGAACTCGTCATAATTTTAATGCCAGGGCTGGCTTCGAAAGGTTCCAACATTATTGATTCATCGTTCGTCGACCATGTATCATCGTTTACTTCAACGTCATTTGCATCGTCGTCTTCTGAATCACTATATTCCAGTACGCCACTGCCATCACTTTCATCACCACTATCATTTGCTAAATGACTGTCAGAACAATCTGACAGATCATCTAAATGAAACTCTCGGATAACACCTTTTTGATTCATCGCAAACGGTAAAATTTTCAAAATTATATAAGAATATTTTTTGCAAAGACGCTGCTCCTGCTTCATGTTCTCGCTTTTATCAGCTAGGTCAGTTGCTGATTGGTGGAATTTTACGTGTATGGGGTGCAATCGCTTGTTTCGATTGGTCGGCGTTACTTGGGTGGGATGCCGGTCCTTCCAAGGGAAAGGGATTGTTATTAAAAACTGCTATTTCCACTTTTTAGGGTTTGTCCCAGGATATGCAGGGTAATAAAGTAATTTTTCCGCCGCGCACGTGGGCCTCTTCACGGGGGGTACGGTACCTCGGTCTGGCGGCCAAATGTGACTGAACAATCTTATGACGATAATCCGGCAGACCGAGGGTTCGTCGCGTTTTCTTGCGATGCAACAAGTACAATCTAACAGTTCTATCTCAGTAACAGATAACAAAGTATTGGTTGCCATGGCAAATCGCAAAAAAGCGATTAATAGGCTACTGGTCGATAGGCGTTGGCGGCAAAAAGCCTATTCGGTAAAGTGTTAAAAAGGGTTATACAGTGGAACCTCGATGACTCGAACCTCAAGAGAAGGAAACAAATCTTCGAGTTATAAAGGTTTCGACTTATCGAGTTTTCGTTCTTTTTCATTCTTGATCCAGCTTTCACTGTTTCAATTATGTTTATTTTATCAACAATTTTTTCTCGCTTGCGTTTAGAATTCATTTTGTTACATATAATCCGGAGAAAAGAACGAGAAACAATAGAACTGTGCTTTAACTTATTTCTTCAATCTTTCACAGCAAACTGCTTTTGTGATCAAAACGCACGCACTGTTTATCTCTACAAAGGAATAAACAATTGACGATTGTTGAACCGTTGACCCTATTGGATCGATCGACTGATATGTAGAAATTAACTTCGACTTGTAGAGGTCGGAGTTCTTCTGAATTCGAGTTGTAGAGATAGAGTACGTATTAACACGTTCGTCGCCACGTCACCCATGCCTGGGTGACGGGTATGCTTCCGTGGGGGCCCCGTCACCCAGATATGGGTGACGTTCTTCTTCGTCAAGTTAAATAGGATTTCACAAGTAATTTATAAAAATCCATATAACACAAGAATTTAATGGAATATCACACTATATTATACTATACATTAATTTATATTTAAAATAAAATACAACATTATACTACGTAGCATGGTATTCGTTAAAACAGTTCGAACACATTTGTGGTGATTTTGGACAATCGGGACAATATGTTGTCGTCTTTTTTACATTTTTTCTCGCTTCCTGGCGTTCGAGAATTTGTCTCCTCTTCTGGTAACATAGAACGCAAATTCCAGCTAATCGCTCTGTTTACGTTCTTGCACTCCGACTATCGAATTTGGGCCCCGCGAGAAACTCGACCGATTCACGCTGGGCGACGAACGTGTTAAAAATGCGACAAATAATTCGAGTTAACGGAAGTTTTTTCTCGAGTTGTCGAGGTTTATGCAGCGGAGCGGAAGGGAATGAAGAAAATTTTCGTCTTACAGAGGTTTTCGAGTTATCGAGGTTCCACTACACTACGGAAGAATCGAACCCGCGAACCTCCGACTGGCAAGCCAAGACTTTGCGCACTACGCCAATTACGCCCTCTTTATTTTTCTTCGTCGATTCCCTATTTGAGTATGGAGGCCCCGATTCTGCACTGTTTTTATTATTCAGGAATAACAAAACAATGTTTATTTTTCATTTCTCTAAATCTTAAAACATATTAGCCTGTAGTACGGTATGACCCAACCGTCATAAAGAAACGAAATTTTGAGAATCTGGGGGAAGAAGGGCCGAATATAAAATTTTAGCTTCGGGTATTTATTAGTTTCTGAGATATTAATAAAAAACTTTCGGTATAATATTAGGTCATCTCATAAAGTTGTGCCGAAAGCGAACAATATTTTAATGAAAATCCAAGGAAATTTTATGGCGACGACGTACATTGAAGAGCAACGTATAACACTAGAACTACCAGCCGGGTTAAAATGACCCATTAGCGATTTTCTAAAAGTGATTTTCTATGTAACTAAAACGTGATTAAAAAATTAAATTCATATCGGTACGAATAGAAGTATACGTGTAAAAAATAAAGTCGGAAAGTTACAAACGATAATACTTACCAGTATGGAACATTCACGTTTTTTTAGAAAGTTGTACTACAGTAAAAGTTCTATAAGAGTTCTTTGGGATCTATACGCGAACGGTTCATGGTCTATCCCCACCACAAGGGGGGGCCACCCTTGACACGGTCACGGCATCTCCTTATCGCATTCGGTGGCGGCATGTCCGTGAGACAATACTAACAAAATTTCAAAAGTTTGTTATTTTCAATTTTTCGTTAATAAAAATTTCATCAAAATATTGGTGAGATTTTCCTGATTAAAATGATACCAAACACGATATATTTTTAAAGCAATGCAACGTCGGTTTGCATGTTTTGTAAATCCTTATATGTAATCTTTTTTAGGTGTCGTATATTTAATAGATATAATAAAGACATAATAAAGTGTGGATGTATGTAAATATGTATTAATTA